GGTCCAGTGATCTTCCCAGTGTAGCTTACCACAGCATGTGTTACATCCTACCCCGGTAGTGGGGTAGGTTGTAACAAAGGAGCACCATGTATTTGTCATGAACTCACAATGTCTGTGATATTCTTGCAGAGGTTTGACTTGGTGCAGTTTGTAGCAAGCAAATGTGGCTACTGTATATAAAAGTTTCAAAACTCTAGCTCAAAAATTCAGTGAGTTATAGGTGGTAAAGCAAAATGTGTTACAACCATACCCGGTCTCCCCTACCTCTACTCAGCCACGATTTGGGGATTCAACACTGCAGTCAGCAGGTATTTGCTAAGAGGATGTCTGCTATCTCCCAGTAACCAGCCACCGGCACACGCAGCTTCCTTTGCCATCTGACACGCCAAAGCTGGATCAGATATAAGCATCATGTCCTCCCAGTCACTTCGCCAAAATGGGCCTCATTCACCAGTATCATCATCATGCTTTTGAGAAAAGTCTACATCAGATTCCCGACACGTTCTTAATCCACAGAATTGTTCCAAAATGTTTTGTGATGAATCCCGTTGTCAGTGTAAATTAAAAGCGTGTTCCAGTAGTTCCTAATTAACGTTGGTATCGCCCCGCCAATCCCCATAAAAGGGCATGAGCCTGCAGTGCTGTGAGCGCACAGAAATGACACAGAAATTAAGAATAAAAGTTGAGAGAGGAGTCAGGAACGCCCAAATGAAACTAAAGATGGTGGAGCATCAGACTCAGAATGTAAAACATCAGTACTGTAGTGCTGAAGCTGCAGGCAGTGAGTAGCTGTCATACTCAGAAGTGTTAGTAATGGATATAAAGCAACACAAAAACATGCATGGTATGCCATTACTCATTTTAATTATTATTTTTAAATGATAATTTTTAAACAATTATCATCAAAATTATGGTTATTAAAATTATTTTTTATTATAAATGGTGAAAATATTATTGTAATTTAAATCCTATAATATTATACAACTGTAGAATAAGCAATTATTTTGCTCAAACCTGTCAGCACTGTAAATGTTTGTGTGTGCTTGAGTGTGTGTTGATTCTGTTCATACCCAAAATAAATCCCTTTAATGGCATGGAAACCAGTGTTTTTCATGTCATGCAAGAAATCCCCTCATAATACATAGTTTCCTGTAGGAGGGGATCTCTTGCATGACATGAAAAACACTGGTTTCCATGCCATTGCAGGCATACCTGGCATTTTAGGTGCAGTGGACTGAACCCTCAACCCTGTTCATACTCGCAGGCACTGGAATCCCATCTGCAACACAAAAACTGTTCTTGGCATTAGGTCTAAATGTCCAGGTGATATGCAAACATGAAGGACATTTTACAGACAATGGGCCTCATTCACCAACAGAAATTTCTCCTCTGTTCAGTGCTTGCATGGGCTGAATGTTTTGCAGGGTCGTGGGGTCCAGTGGCTGTGGGGTATCTGCTAGTGGGGAAAGATTTACTGACCTTGACTTTGTCAACAACGTGGTGCCTTATGGGACATCCTGAGACTTCTTGGGATCCCCCATAAGTTGCTGGATGTCATGGCCGGCCTGTACACCGGTACTGTGAGTGCTGTGCAGAGTGGAGGGAGAATCTCTGCGATTGTCTGAGTGTCTGGGTTTGCGAGTGTCCTGGGTCAAACCCAAGATCCAGGCTTTTAATGACTTCTTGGGCACAGTTCTCAGTAGTGTGTCTGTCTGTGCAGAGAATGTCAACTTCGGCGAGATTCACTAACCTCATTACTGACATTACCGAGTCCTGGGGCTCCCAGTCTTGCTGTATGGCTTAAGCTATATGATATCATAGGAAGTTTGCCTTACCCTCCATAGTCCACTGTTCAAAGCACACTTTGCAGGACATGTCTGACAGGACATGAGTTTTAGAGCTATTACACAATTTATCAGCTGTCCTATTGCACACTGTATGCATACAGTATAATTATTAATAAATATATATAGATTACCTAAAAATCCATGGGGTTTGCATTGTCCTCCATTGTCCACTATTTAAAGTGCACTTTGTAGGACTTCTCAAAACAGAGGACTACAGAATAGTTTAAAAAGATTACAATTAAATAACAGTAAAATAGCAATAAAATAATCATAATGAACTATAGAATATACATCATTATATCAACAGCTGAAGAATATAAAATGGTTTCCGTGTTCAGAGCTCCGAGAAGCCCTGGTACTTGTCTGGTAATGAGCCGCGCTGCTCATCCATTCCCATATTCTGTAATCCCCGTAATATCAGACAGCAGCGCGCTCCTCACCTCTCGCTTTCTTCTCTCTGCAGCTATTCGGGTGGTAAACGGGCCGGTATCCGTCACTGAAGGGGGCAGCGCTAATTTATCCTGCAGACTGACTGAGACTGATGAAGATCTGGAGCAGGT